AGAGGTCAATCAACCATTTCTTTATTGATCAATAATTTTTCCAGGAATTGAAGTGAATGTCACTGCCCTATAGTGTGCAGAGTTTGTTAAGAAATCTATAGGGTCTATAATGGCTGTAAGGCTTCTTACTTTACTTACAGTGACTCAGACTTAGGATGTTATCAGACTCACAATGATGAGATCACGGATCTTGGTCATAATTTTGTTGTAAACCCAATTAATCCCAAGAAAGGATATAAAATAATTTAGGTCCTTGCATATAATGTGGCACTTTTATTTCTCTCAGATTGAGCATAAAGACAGATCAGCAATTTTAATTACATGCCATGTAGGTGCTTCCCATGTACTCATAGTATATACGGACTGAGTGTTAGCATATGGTTACATGGTTACAATTATAAACATAGTTATAATTGTGGCACATCAGAATTAACTGTACCCATGTTGTAAGTATAGCCTATCAGTAGGACATTTTCTAACTGTGTTAGCATTGAGTCTAACTCTACTCTTTTGAAACTAAAGTGCCATCTAAGTAGCCATTATCTGGTGAATGAGGAAAATGAGGAGACAAGCTTAAATAATTCAGACAGAATTTCTTGCTCCCATTTGTCCTCCTAGGACTACATATAATGTTTTCAGAATATAGCCTGAAGATAATTCCTTGATTGTATATACATCTAATGGCCAAAAATGCACCTTTCATAAAAGTATGGGGGAAGGGGAATCAGAGGGGAAGACCTAGTCATCAACAATGCTGAATTATTGTGTTCTTGGGCAAAGTAAGCATGGTTGGCAGCATAACTGTAGAATGTTCACTCTTAACAGCTTTAAAAAAAACACCAATATTTTATATATTTTTTCAGTTAACATGTATTTCTCTTCTCTCTTACTCCTCCTTTTTCTTCTCCCCAGCTATGGAAAGGTTTGGGTGGGGCCAGGGCAGGGCTTGTGACAAGTATGGATATTTAAACAAAGCAAATTCCTTCATTGTCCATATCCAAAATTTTATGTCTCATTCTGCATCTTTAGTCCATTACTTCTTAGTCAGGAAGTGGGCAGCATACTTTATTGGTCCTCTGGAATTGTGGTTCACCATTGCACTGATGAGTCTTTTGTCTTTACAATGTTATTGTTGTATAAGTTGCTTTCCTCTTCCTACTCATTTGTTTCTGCATTTTTTCATACAAGTTCTCACAGGTGTCTATCAGCTTTTTTGGTGGTCATAAAATTCATGTAAAATCATAGACTAAAGATGAAAGCTAGAAGGGACCCTGGATATTACCTAATCTGCCTCCCCCTCATTGTACAGGGGAGGAAATTGAGACCTAGAAGGTACAAGTGACATATCAAAGGTAACACATAAAGTAGAATAGTGGCAAAGTCAGAACTTAGGTCAGGTTTCCAGACTCCAAAGTCAGTATTCTCCTTGTTCACTGTTGGGTTTTTTGTTTGTTCATCTGTCTGTTTTGTTTGATCACATTTGTAATTTTATTGGTATAGGGAACTCTACAGAAGAAACAACTTCTGTCAGTGTAGATCTGCTAAAGCTCTTTAATTTAGATGCTGGAGAGTAGCCTGGGGGCATTAACTCTTTGAGTGATTTGCATGGGATCCTAAAGTCAGTGTTAGAAGCAGTATTTGAGCCCTGATCTTCCTGACTTTGAGATAAGCTTTGTGTGCATTTGTTTATTATGAAATTTGATTATTAATTTTGATGACACACATTTTCTCTCTAGTCTCACTGAAAAAAGTTCACAAATCCATACTTGTCTTTAACTGCTTTTCTTTCCTTTTCTTTTTCTTTTCTTTCTTTCTTTTTTTTTTAACCACAAAGAGCTTCTCTGGAAGGTGAGCAAGAGTGACCATAGGCTTTCCCAAATTTTTGTAAATCACATGATCCTTGATAACTTCAAACTTTTACTGATGCCTGAGCAATGTCCTATTATTTTGCTAAGGTTGATTGTGCCGATTTGTCCTGCACTCTTACTGATATTGATTCAAGAGTCAAAATGTTGATTTTTTTTTAGGAGTTTTTAAATGTTTACTAGAGCAGTGGATGTTACAGTGCATTAACTTCAGAAATTCACCACTGCTGTGGTTGCCAGTCTCAAACAAAGAACTTATCTGTTCACACAAAACTGAAAAGGAAGAACTAAGTTCATGTGCATCATAATAAAATGTGTTTGTGTGGCAAAATTCAGCTTAATTCTCCTCTTCTGTGCTGTGGAGTTAGGACCACATCTATAAAGCTTTCACTCTATCAGATTCAGAAACCAAATGAACACAAAATAGAATTTGATTGAAAGACACGAGACCTAGGATTTAGTCTTGGCTTTAGTCTACAGGATGTCCCAAAAGTCTTAGTGCATTCTAAAGCTATTGAAGCCTATAGCGTAGTATTGCTAGACTTGGAGTCCGGAAAATTTTGTTTTGAATCTCATATATGACATTTGCTAGCTGTGCTCTACTGAGTCAATCACTACACCTAACAGAGTCTTTGGTTTCTCACTAAATGAGGAAAATAAAAGAACTTCCCATAATTATGACAATCAAATGAGACAATTCATGTAAAGTGTTACAACTCTTAAAGCAATATCTAAATGTGAGCTATATTATTATTACCATTAACTATCTGTCTGACCTTGAAAAAGTCATTTGGCTTCATTGGGTCTTAGTCTTGTCATCTGCAAAATGGGAACAAGATATCTTTATTACTTAGTTTTGTCAAGAACACGTAATGTAAGACTAATCTCATTTCCATTTTTGGTAAGATGATTAGGCAAGTAGATCAAGATAATGACATAGACATTATATGTTTTGATTCCAGCAAAGTGTTTGACAAAGTCTCATATAATAACCTTGTGGAAAATATGATGTAATGTGGGCTGAATAACACAAATTGAGAGTATTCAAAGGTGTTGAAACAACCTCATGAGAAAGCTTAGATTATTATTGGTTCAGTGTTTCTCTTGAGGGATGACTCAAACAGAAAGCTAATGGGTTCTTTCTAGGGCTGTTCTGTTCAACATTTTTATTGATGACTTTGATGAAAGAATAAATGGCACACATTGAATTTGCCAGTGACATAAAGTTAGAGGGGATAGATTTTCCATTCAGAGAAAGAATTGGGATCTAAGAAGCTTTGAATGTTTAATTCTATTGACTGAATGAGATCCATAAGATAAAATTAATTAAAAAAAGATTAATGCAAAGTCCTATGCCTAGATTTAGATAATCAATGATACAAGTACAGGTTGTGGGTAATATGGCTTGGCAGGAGTTTACATGATAAAAGATTTGGGGTTTTAGTGGAACACAAACAATCAGGAACTTGACTGCTAAAATATCACAGGGTCACAGAATTTTTGAGGTGTGAGAGACATCTGAGGTGATGTAGTCCACCAATCCCAGAAAAATTACCACTGTAACATGACCAATAAGTAGTCTTCTGGCCTTTTCTTGAAGATCTTTCCAGTAAGAGAGAACTCACTACCTCCCAATTTAGTCCACTCCACTTTTGTTTACTTCTCATTGTTAGGTTTTCCTTACCTGAAAGCTGAAATTTACTTCTTTGAAATCCCACTTTTGCTTCCAAGTTCTGTCTTCTAGGAAGCCAAGAAGAAAAAAACTTAGACTCTCCTAAACATTACAGATCTATGATTACTTAAAAATATGTCATATGCCCCCACTTCTTGCTTTCTCTTTCATAAGCTAAATATACTCTATTCTTTCAACATATTTTCTTAAAAATGATTATTTCTATAAAAACATCATAAAATAATTATTCACCATCTAGGTTGCCTTCAAGCGTATTTATTTCCTACCTAAAATGTGAAGCCCAGAGCTAAACAAAGAATTTCAAAAGTGTTCTGACCAAAGAAGAGTAGAGTAAGATTGTTGATTCCATTGTTCCTGACGCTTAATTTTTTCTCTCTTGATTCAGCTAGGTGGTGTAGCTGATAGAACACTGGCCTAGGAATCAGGAAGACCTGAGTTCACAGTCGAGCCTCAGATACTTATTAGCTGTGTGACTTTGGACAAATCACTTAACATCTGATTGACTCATTTTCCTCAAGTGTAAAATGGGGATAATAATAGCAACTACCTTCCGGGGCTGTTGTGAAGATCAAATGAAATAATATTTGAAAACAAAGCATAATACCTGCCACATAGTAGATGTTATATATGTGCTATTATTGTTATTATTAATATTCATATTAAGGAAGTTAGGTGGTATAGTAGAGCACCCAGATATACTGTGAAAATCAAATGAAATCTGTGTAAAATTTTTTGCAAAGTTATAAATATTATTATTACTGAATTTTCAGTCCATTAACCCAACTACTCTATCCCAGATCATTTTTTTGTGTCTAGCCATGTTAATTTTGCATTTTTGAAGTTGAATTGTGGGAACCCAGGTATAAGATTTTATATTTATTCTCATGAAATGCTATCTTCTTAGTTTTGTTACAAAAACAAGCCAATCAGCATCCTGTCTGTATTAAGCAGTGTCTTAATTTAGCTTATTCCATCTCATCTTAATCAATTGTAACATTGTGGAACACGCTACCCCTTCCTTTTTTGCTCATAAGGTTAAGTAGCACAGAATCCAGCACACAACCTTGGAGACCTTTAACCTTCAAACCATTAATAATAACTTTTTATTCCAGCATTAGATGGCAGAGCACAGTGTTACTACGAAAGTTTGAGTACCCGGGGTGTAGTGGTGATCATAGCTGTAAGTCTAAAGTAAAGAGTTTATTACTGACCTTTCCAAAAATGCCAATAGTAGAGTCTGCCTCCCTTGCTCTCTGACCAGTGGGATGACTTTCTTTTTCTTTATAAAAACACTGTTCACAACTGGGAATTTCACTGGGGCAGTCTCCATTTATTAATATGTCTCTTATAGTTGATTATGAATGTATCAAATGTGTACCTAAAACATTGGGCATCAAATTGTGATCTCCTTGCCTTAACTCTGCATATTCTCCATCATCCAGGGCTGTAAGAACTCCTGACATTTGAAGCTATCCTACCAAGTTGCCATAGCAACAGGAAAAAGAAAAAGAAGAAAAAAAATCAGATCTGAAGACTGCAGTTTATGGTCACTGTACTTCTCAACTAGGCCTCGATTGCTCCAGATTTCAGTTTTGTCTACGACTTCACTTTGTTTCTCAAACTCTGCTCCAGTGTCTGACAGCTCCTGCCTTCGTTTGTAGTTGATGGAGTCCTCTTGCAAGTTGCGACGGCTGTGCAGTTACCCTGAGCACTGAAGGATCCTGACATCTCACTTGACCTTCTGGGAATGGAAGAAAAAGAAAATTCAAGGATGACTACTTGTTTTTGATATCTGTTGACATATTGCTATTCAGCTGTTCAAAGTGCTTTGTTTGTGGGTTGGTATTTGTATATGTATGAGTATACGTATGTATATATACACACATTGTATTTATATAGAGAGACTATACACCATAGGTTAGTTTTGCTATGTTGTTCATGCTGACAGGTTAAATGATGTAGTGACAGAGTAGCCCAGCTGTTGAGGGTGAAGTCTGAGCTAAAGCAGCTGCTAACACCTTGGGGTGCTCAACTTCCAGATACACACTAAGGCACTGAGGTGCTCCACATTTGTCACTGGGGCTCCAAGATCCAGTTGCTACAGAGCTGGCATATGTACCCTGGCTTTCTTCTCCAGTTTGACCTTGGCCCTGGAGGCAAAAAGTTCTCTAGCCACTGGTAATAAATTACCAGGCAGGTCTGTCAAGAGGGAATATGCAACAGAAAGTTCTGTCAAGTTAATAATTCCTTCTCCTAAGCCTCAGGGGATTCTATAACTCTCCAGACCAATTTCCATTGGTATCATCTTCTATAATTCTGGGGAGGTTGGAAGGAACACAGAGCAGGGGAAATATCAACCCTGTATGAAGCAAAGGGCTGAAATATTTTTGCATGGACGTCAACCCAGCATGTCCATGCACCTTGAATATCTAGGTGTCACTGGAGTTTTCAGGGAAATGGGTCATCCAAGAGATGCTGTTGTTTCTCCTCAGTAAATGATAACTCCACCATTGGCAACAGGTGAGATAATGTGCATATCTGAGGAGGACAAGCAGCACTGTATTTTATAAATCTAGAAACATACATATACATATATACATAATACGCACACATGTTTGTTTTAACTATACAAATACATATACGTATACAATACAGGAAGTCTTGTAATTTTTTTTTTCCTTCTGGTGAATCAACCACCACTATTTGCAAATCTGATGAGAAAGAGTGTTCATCATGTATGAAGAGGAAATGATTTTCATTCTGTGAGCATGTAAAGGTTACAAGGCAGCTACTGCTTGCCCCAAGACCTTCTCTTGTGAATAAAATCTGTACATGAACCATCAAAGCTCACACCAAATTTTTATATGAAAACAGAAGTAGTGACAGACTGTAGCTTTTCTTAGGGCTTGCCAGTAACTAGGGTAAGAAAAGTGTCTTAGAGTATTTTACTGCAGTTGCTTACTAAGGGTTTAACCACAGAAAACAAAACAAAACAAAACAAAAAAAATGCTTTCTTATGCAATAGGTGTTGGCATCTGCATCGCTTTAGTCAGACTTTTCTAGTGATTAGGGGTCACATGTTGTCTTTCTTGCCTGAAGTTATAAAGCTAGTGCTCCATACACTGTATTTGTTTCAATAGTAAATCTTTTGGACGCGCACATAATACAAAGCGTTTTTTTTTCCTCCATTGAAATAAATGGGTATTGGTGGTTAACATTGCTGAATAATAGCTTTTCTCTATTTTCTGGTGTTGTATGGATTCTTTCTCCAATCCTTTGCCTCTTTGCTGATACAATAGTAACATTCATGCTAGGCTTTACCTTGTCATAAACAATCTTTTTATGCTCTCCTCAGTACCACCGATGCTGCGTGAATCACATTGATGTGTGGAATAGTCTTACGGGATAAACACTGGTTTGTTCTGAAAAGTCATGAACTCACAGTAGTGTCCCTCAATTAGTTTTAACTGTCTTAATGACCAATTTGGATTGTCACCCTTTTAGCTGAGAAGGGAGATGACAGAACCAGACCGAACGTTATGATCTTCACTGGTAGTCTGCCTTCAGTACATGCCCCAAACACCAGGAAATATGACTGTCACTTTTGCTCAGTGACTGTCATTTTTGTGTTAATTATAACATAAGCCCATTTGGAGACCAAGAGATGTCACTTTGTTCTTCCAGCTTAGGGCCTTGCCCTTTGCTTGGCAATGTTTTTCCTCCCGGGGTTCACAGACTCACTACGCTGAGGCAAACCTGGGTCTGCAATGCTCCTGGACATCCTGAAAGAACATTTCCCACAGCACACACATGCATACACATGAACCTGAAGACATTTGAGTCAGGTTTAATAACCTGACATCCGTTATTTAGCAAGGGCCTTCTGCTGGCCGCACTTAAAAATAACATGCTTCAAACATTGGTTGTCTTCACCACTCCAACTGTATCATATTTATATAGAGCTTTAGAGTTTGCAAAATCCCTTCCTCACAATAATCCTGTAAGGTAGGTAACACTCCTCCAACCTTCCTCCCCTCCCCAGAAAAAAATAAAGGAATAAATAAGCAAAATAATAGGTATAGAAATAAGGAAAGTGAGATTTAGAGATACACAAATAATAAATTTCAATGTCAGAACCTGAACTCAGGTTTCCAACTCAAAGACCATTCTGTTGCCCCTTATACCTTACTACTCTCTAAAACCTAAATGAGCTGCCACTGTAGACTGGAGCTGTCTGTCTATATGGGGGAAGCCATTTCAACTATATCTTATTGACTCTCCTTCAAACTCCTTACTTTTTACCACATGGATAGTAGTTCTTTACTTTTAAACTTAGGGGCCCCTAAAGAACTTCTCAGAGACAATGCAATGTACAGCTTGGCATAGTGAAACACATTACAACAAGGGATAGAATGAATCAGTATTTTCTTAATAATGAGGGAGCATGATGGACATTAGGCCTCAGTGTTCCATCTCACTGAAGATCCCCAAGGCCTATGTTATCACCCTCCTACATAAATTTGCTGTTTAGTTCCTCCCAGACACCAACATGCCTACGGTTCTTACTAGCAGTGTATAGGTCTCTCTAAGATCTTACTTCCCTCATCCTTTAAAGAAAACTCCTGGGGATAGAAAGGTTAAAGGCATGTCCTAAATTTCAGAAACTTTTAGGCATTTTAAAGGATATGCATATTATTCAAATAAAACATTAAAAAAAAAAGAAAAGTTACCTCCAAAATGGAATCTTCTTTTATTTCAGGTTTATAGTGACATAATTTAGAGGAGACTTCAAGGTGCTTTGTACCTAAAATTTGGGAGAATATTTTTTTCTTAAAAATACAAATTATAAAGAAAAAAATGGGACTTTTTACTTGAATTGTCCAGATAATTATAGTTTTCTACTGCTCTTTAGTAATGCAAATCAGGAAGTTAAACAAAGGTTAGTTTTCTTTACCCCATGTGTGTTATAAAGAGTGGCCGGCTGTTTAAAATATGCTTACTACTAAAATACACATAATTCAATATTTTACAAAGTCTATCTTTTCATCAGCATGAATATCTCCACCGCCAATACAGTTATAATCTCCTACTCTCCATAGAAGATGGATTTTTTGTTGTTTGTTTGTTTGTTTGTTTTGGTGAATGTCTGAGGGCAAAAACATTCATTACCAATTGGTCTGTTCTTTGGTGTTGGGTTTTGGGTTCCTAGATAATCTGATCCTCACTCAACAAATACAGTCATCTGACACCCTTCCAAATTGGAAAATCTTGTCAGAGATTGCACACCACTGGCATGATCTTGAAGAACCTCCAAATCGTGGGTTTTCATGATATAATCCAAAATAATTAGATGATTTTCATTGGAAACATTTTAATAAAACATGTACATAATTATTTGCATTTTGGCAAACATACCAGGGCTCTTCCAAAAGATATTGGCATTGTGTAGGTGATTCAGGAGTTATCAGTCTGAAAATTCAAAGAGAATTATTCCAGATTATTTGTCTCATAGTTGTTTAATAAGGCTCAGATTCACAGGAAAAAAAAAGTCAGAGCTCAACAGGATTCTAAGAGATCATCTAGCACAATTCATTCCCTTTCTTAGAATCTCCAAAAAGTGGTTATCTAATCTCCATTTGATAAACTACAGTGATGAGAGAACTCACTACTTCCCAGGGCAACATGTGCTGCCTTTTAAAATCAATTAATTATTTATTTATTTTTAGTTTTCAACATTCACTTCCACAAGATTTTGTGTTCCACATTTTCTCCCCATCTCTCCCCTCCCCCACCCCAAGATGGCATGCATTCTGATTTCCCCTTCCCTCAATCTGCCCATCCTTCTATCACCCCCCCATTCTCTTATCCCCTTCCCCTTCTATTTTTCTGTAGGGCAAGATAGATTTCTATACCCCATTGCCTATATATCATATTTCCCAAGTGCATGTAGAAACTTTTTAAACATTTTTTACAATTTCTAAATTTAAACACTTTAAACAATTTTTGACATTCGTTTTTAAAACAAGTTCCAAATTCTTTCCCTTCCTCCCTCCCCACCCACCCTCATTGAGGAGGCAAGCAATTTGATATAGGTGATGCATGTATAGTCATGCAAAACACTTCCATAATAGTCATGTTGTGAAAGACTAACTATATTTCCTTCCATCCTATCCCTAACCCTCCCATTTATTCTATTCTTTCCTTTGACCCTGTCCCTTCTCAAAAGTATTTGCTTCAGATTAGCCCCTCCCCCAATCACATTCTGCTTTTCAACAAATCAACACACCATCTGAAATGGTCTTTACAACAATGACCAGTTCCTTCTAGTTCCATCCTCTGAGAATAAGCAAAATGATTATAATCTCTTTTCCATTTTACAGCCCTTCAAATACTTGAAGATAATTCTTATATTTCATATCTCCAACCCCAGAAGTCATCTATTCTCTGGGATAAATATTCTTCATTCCTTCAATTGGTCTTCCCCCAGAAATCCAATTGCCCACATCTGTATATGCTCTAGCTTGTCAATTTCCTTTCTAAAATGTAGGGCCCAGAACAGAAAACAATATTCCAGATATTGTGTAATCAGGTCAAAGTACAATGGGACTATCACCTCCCTTGTTCAGGAAACCATGTCTCAGTTAATATAGCCAAAGTTTGCATTTACTCTTTGGCTCCTGCGTTGATTTATATTAAATTTGTAGCTTCCACATTAAAGCTTCTGGATCCTTTTCAGATGAACTGTTACCTACCAATCCTGTACTTGATTGTTGATTTTTAAAAATATAAGTGTAGGACTTTGTAGTTCTCTATATTACGTTTCATCTATTTAGAGTGTACCCACTGCTCTAGCCCACAGAAACAATTTAGGTTCCCTATCCTGTGTTTTGGTGTGTCCCCTATCCCTTCACGTTTTATGCATTCTTCAATTTGATAAGCATGCCATTTATGCTTAGTGAAACAATTCAGAGAAGCATGGATTTTTGAGATCTTACATACCAACTCTTAAAAACTTCATTTACACTTTAAGCTATCATTTAATAAAGATCTTCCTCAAAGGACAGAGGAAAAAAGTTTGTATTCTATTCCAGTGAAATAAAATCTGTTGTGAACTTCAATTATGATAACTTAAAAACATCAGGGAAGGCTGAGACTGATGCTGTGGCTTGGGTTGTGGTGTATATTACTGTACCAAAGACAGTCTAAGGATGTTGTTTTATAATATGCTGTCTCTCCCCACCCCATGAATCAGATGTGTTGTGGGTAAAAATAAAGAAGTAAACCTGTCTTAAGAGGCCCCGTATTGATGTTTTACAGATGAGAGAATAGATTTGGCTCTTCTCACCTAAATCTAATTAGGATAGAGAAGCATTCTAGATCACTCACAGGGAAGAATACACTTTGGACCCTCAATTACTGAATATAACTACCGAAATTGATCAAATTAACCAGTGCTTCACCTTGTGTCCATTTCACTGGTCATCATTTAGACATAATCTCTAAGTAATCCTTGGAACTTCTATTGCTGAAAATGTATAAACTCATCCCCACAGCTCTACCATCATGTACTATACATATGAAACTTTTAAAAAGCCAATGGATGTTCAAAACAGAGTTTCTTTCTCTTCCAATTATTCTTACCTTTCCATCTCACTGATCATATACACATATACATATACACACACATACACACACACACACACACACACACACACACACACACGTGTTGCTGAGTCAGGACATCTGAGTTAAGCAATAATGAAATCATGTTGTTCCAGGTGGCTAACTTCTTTCTCTTTTAAAATGTCTAACCGTGGGGGAATGAGAAAGTCCTTCGGAAGGAGGAATAAGTGAACCCTTGTCTCAATAATTAAACAATATTGCTGATAATCCTTTACTACATGATCCCAACCAAAACCAAGGACAAGAAGCATTGATCAAACTGGTTCACACACACACACACACACACACACACACACACACACACACACACAAATTGATGAAATGGTGACTGCTTTGGTCCATAGGTGCTATCACTCAAACCTTACTGTCTGATTCTGTACCTTTTCAGTCCACTAACATTACAGTGAAGGCTCTATGATCCAGAGGCTAGTTTGGAGAAGCAGATTTAGGAGGATGAGAAATGGTGATCTTGAAGCTTCCTCAACTGTTAGAGTGCCAGATGACTGAGCTTGTTTTGGTATATTTAGCTTGTGGGAAGCAGGGCAATCTCTGAAGGATATTGAATGCAGTTGGGTCCTAATGAGTTTATGGATAATTTCTAATTATATACATGCAGCATGCTGAATATACTTCATTTTCTGAACTATACCTACATGATATAAGCAAGAATAGAAGAGAGAAGGACCCCTTTCCTGTTGACTGTAAACCCTTTAAGTATTGGGACATCCCACCACAAGTCATCACTCCCTAGTAGCATCGCTCATCTCCTAGGCTGCCTGCTATGTTTTCTGGATTCATTGTTATTCAATCACTAAATTATTTCTTTAATAAATTGTTGGAGTCAGTGTAAGGCAAATACAACATCATTACTGTATAAAATTAGTCCTATCATTGCCATTCTAATTGTTCATTTGTTAGCCTAGCTAATAAACTATAAATATTCGGGAGAAGGGTCTCAGCCACCCATCAGCTGAGTGTTGGTCTCTTTGGGGAGCACATGTAGCCATGGTCATAGAAAGAAATGATGAGACAGAATGCATAAGTCAGAATTCATGAACAATTATAATTCCGTGAATTGAGATGACTGGCCCCTTACTTAAGCACAGGTGGGAGTTGCAATTTGATCCAGAGCAGTCACTGAAATAGGAACAATTCATCCATGAAGTATTGACTTTTCCCACAGTTACCTTAATTTCTGTTGACTTAGGCATCTGAATGTTGGAAACTTGGCCAGCTTGGGGGTCATTTTGTTCAAAGTTTCCAAAGTCCACCTTATCAGATACATCAGGAAATGATACATGTTAGGGAAAAATCATTATAATTTCATTGT